TTTAGTTTTGAGTACACCACTAATATATGAATGTCCTCCACATATTCCCAAATGGCTGGTAAACAAAGCCGACTGGGAACAACTTCAAAAGATTACTCACTTAAGTTGGACTGACATATGCGGATTAGGCATAGATGAAGCTGTGCAGTACTTCACGGCTTTTCTTACTGACGCAGCAGCCAAGTGCATTCCACAAACATTTGGACTGCCCGGCAAACTACACGTCCCGTGGTGGAACACTGAGTGTCAAAATGCGCGAAAGGAAGAGAACAGGGCATGGAGGTTGCTGCGGAACTTGCCAACAGCGGAAAACCTTGAAAGCTTTAAGAAAATAAAATCTTGAGGCAGGAGAACGCGTCGGCAGGCCAGAAGAGAAAGCTGGCACAAGTTTTTATCAGGGATAAATTCATATACACAAGAGGCTAAAGTCTGGAACATGGTTCGTAGAATAGCAGGAAGACAAGTACACTCGCTCCCACTCGTAAACACACAGGGTGACAGCCTGGAAGATCAGGCGAACTTCCTCAGTGCACACTGCGAGCAAGTGTCTAGCTCGTCACACTATACTGAAGCTTTCCAAAGATATAAAGCAAGGATAGAAAAGCAGAAACTAGAATACAAGTGCACAAATCACGAGGCATACAACCAACCTTTCAACTTAGCTGAGCTACAAACATCACTAAACTCTTGCAGTAATTCTGCCCCAGGCTATGACCATGTCACGTATGAAATGTTGAAAAACCTGGTGCTCAAAACGCGAAAAACTTTACTCTCTCTATACAATGCTATCTGGCTTTCTGGCACCATCCCTGCTTCCTGGAAAGAGGCTATTGTTATCCCTATTTTCAAACAGGGCAAGGACCCTTCCTCAGTTTCAAGTTATAGGCCCATTGTACTAACCAGCTGCCTTTGTAAACTTTTTGAAAAAATTATAAACCGCTGACTTTTACATTTCCTTGAAACACACAATCTGCTTGACCAGTTCCAGTGTGGGTTTCGAGAGGGTAGATCCACCACCGACCATCTGGTGCGTATCGAGGCACAGATCCACAATCGGCTTGACCAGTTCCAGTGTGGGTTTCGAGAGGGTAGATCCACCACCGACCATCTGGTGCGTATAGAGGCACAGATCCGAGATGCTTTCGTCCACAAACAATACTTCCTCTCAGTGTTTCTCGATATCGAGAAGGCTTACGGCACAACGTGGCGTTTTGGCATATTAAGAGACTTGTCTCACCTGGGTGTGTGCGGTAGAATGCTTTCCATAATCGAGAGTTACTTGTCCAATCGGAATTTCTGTGTCCGTGTGGGCAGTATTCTCTCCCAAACATTTGTGCAAGAAACGGGAGTACCGCAAGGTGGTGTACTTAGTTGTACACTTTTTATTACCAAAATTAATTCCTTGCACCTGTCCATCCCCCGCAACATGTTCTATTCCACATATGTCAATGACGTCCAGCTTGGATTTAAGTCATGCAACCTAGCAACGTGTGAGCGGCAGGTTCAGTTAGGTTTAAACAAGGTCTCCAAATAGGCAGAGGAAAACGGATTCCGGCTGAACCCAGAAAAAAGCACGTGTGTCTTGTTCTCCCGAAAGAGAGGCGTGCACTCAGAACCTGACATTCAACTGAACGGTCAACGTCTGTCTGTCAATGCGGAGCATAAATTCTTAGGCTTAATCTTGGACTACAAGTTGACCTTCGTACCACACATCAAGTATTTAAAAATAAAATGTTTAAAAGCCATGAATGTTATAAAAGTGTTGCCACGTACTACGTGGGGTAGTGACATGCAATGTCTCATGAACCTGTATAGAAGCCTCATTCGCACCCGCTTAGATTATGGGGCCGTTGTTTATCAGTCTGCGACTCAAAGTGCTTTGAAGATGTTGGATCCCGTGCACCATTTGGGCATCCGCCTTTCTACGGGTGCTTTTTGCACCAGCCCTGTAGAAAGCCTTTACGTTGAGTCAAATGAATCGTCGCTTCATCTACAAAGAACTTACATATCCTTTGTATATTTTTTTAAGGTGAAAGCAGACAAGAAGCACCCCTCATACTCCACTATTAATGATTTGTCGAGCTCTACTCTATTTCAAAACAGACCTTCGATGAGGCAGCCCTTCTCAGTTCGCCTGAAGGGTCTAGCTGAGGAAACTGGAGTGTCACTTGAACACAGTTTAATAGCTCCTGTAGTATACCCGCCACCGTGGCAGTGGCATATTATAGACTGCGATGTGTCTTTCCTAGAAGTTACAAAACATGCACCTATTGCCCATATCCGAAACTACTTCCTCGAACTTCAACACAAATACACACATTCTGAGTTCTTTACAGATGCCTCCAAATCTAACTCCTCTGTGTCCTACACTGCTGTCGGCCCATCCTTTTTGGATGCTGGCCCTCTACATCCAGGCACAAGTATCTTCACAGCGGAAGCTTGCGCGATACTTGTGGTGGCTAAACACATCAAGCAATCACAAATACAAAAAGCAGTAATTTATACGGGCTCCCTCAGTGTGGTTACGGCTCTGCACAATCTTAAAAAACAAAAAAAAAAAACACTGTCCTCACCTCACTTTACTCTATTTTATGCACACTCTACACACTCAAACAACATGTTGTAGTGTGCTGGGCGCCAGGGCACCGTGAGATCCAAGGCAACGTGATGGTGGATCAGCTTGCTGCATCCGTCCACGAAATCAGTGCCACTGCACCCATATCGATCCCGCCCCCTGATCTTAAGTCGTCTCTCAAACGAAAGCTCAGGGACTACTGACACACAAAACAAGCTACACGTTATCAAGCCACACCTTGGCCATTGGCCACCAGTATCAAAATCACGTCTAACAGAGGTAACACTAACAAGGCTCAGGATAAGACACACATACACGACACACTCATATATTTTGTCCGGTGGCGATCCACCACTGTGTGACAGATGTGGTGAGGCATTAACAGTTCTTCACGTTTTAATCCAGTGTAAACAATTAGACACTCTAAGAAGGCAACACTTTCCATTACCCTACCGACAACATATACCATTACACCCCGCAATGTTTGTCGGTAGGGAACCACTTTTTACCATAAATCATTGCTAGCTTTTTTAAGAGATGTCGGTTTTTACCATGTAATATACCCAGGCATTGCGTAGCGTGACCTCTCAAGAGAGGTTGCTGCTGTAGTGGCTACATTGAGAAGCACTTGCCTCTCGGCCCTTGGACACAAGGACGCTGATGAGGCATTTGTGCTAGTGCCAAATATTTTTACACATGCTTTTATTATCGAAACCTTTTGTCACCCATTTTTACTATCCATATCACACCATTGCCATGATTTTATTAGTTATGTTTTTACCCGCGTTAGCGCGAGGAATTTTAAGGCCCTTATACAGCCACGCGCCATATCATTGTCCACATATTTAGTCACTGAAATGGCGCTTTTTGGTCACCAATTGGCTCTTGCGCCATTAAGCCCTACACATCATCAAGACAACGGCGTATCACTCGCAGACTAACGGCTTGACTGAGCGACCTAACAAGACCGTCGCCGATATGTTATCCATGTATGTGGACGTTCAGCACAAGAAGTGGAATCAGGTCTTCCCATACATAACATTCTTGTACAACACTGCCATTCAAGAAACGACACGATTCACACCGTTCCGTCTCATCTACGGGCGTCAGGTGCAGATTACGCTAGGCGCTATCTTGCCACAGGATTACGACGGGTCGCCCACACCTAACGCTGAGTAGCTTGCTCAGTACGCCAAAGAAGCTCGACAGTTGGCACGCCTGCATATCAGGCAACAACAAACTGCCGATGTACGCCGCTACAATCTTCGCCATGGACAATTCGAATACCACTCAGGAAATTTAGTTTGGGTGGGAACTCCGGTTCGCTGCCAAGGATTGTCCGAAAAGCTCCTGAGTCTCTACTTTGGGCTCTACAGAGTAGTGTGTCGCGTGAGTGACGTGAACGATGAGGTGGTCCCAGACGGAACCATGTCGCCCCAGCGTTGAAAGCACCACCCAGAGATTGTTCACATTGTACGGCTCAAGCCGTACTTCATGTGTTAGTGCGACCGTGCCTCGGCCTTGTTTCTTTGTTGTTTCTTTCTTCTTCAGTGTGCACGTTTGGTTTACTTCCGCTTATGCGCTACCATTTGCGCAAGCATCGGGACGATGCCTTTTTTTCAGTAGGGCAATAATGCCACCTTGCCATGAACTGTGGCGAGCACGAGCCTGCATTCAGGAAAAACAAACGAGGAAGTCATTTCGGGACAGCGCGTGCTCTCAGTAAGGCGTTTTGGTTGTGTCTCGTCACTGACCTGCGTCTCTGTGACTATGCGGTATTCCTTGCCCGAAGTCTCTCTTTTTCACACGCGACAATATCAATATGGTAAGAGGTCAACGCCTTATTGTGCAGAAGGTGCTGATGGCACGACTTCGATGCCCTGAACAAGGGAAAGAGGGAGAAGGAATGTTATAGCCTGTGTGCGACCACGTGTGTTGTGACATAGCTCTACTTTCATAGTGAATCGTGTGCATGGAGGGGTCAGCTCCACTCTGATGTTGTCATGTGACGAAACTGGGACACACACCACAGGTCAACTAAAATGGTGAGAATGTGGAAAACTCATGTTCTTTAAACAACCTCTCAACAGAAAGCCAAATGGGGGAAAAACCAAGCAATGCGATGCATGCTGTGGCAAAAAGATGCGTGCTGCTCCCATAGAGAACTTTAATAAGAGAGAATACACAAAACTGAGTGCAAATATTTTGTACCTTTTGAGAAAACTCTGTGTTCTGCTGTACCTTTTCCTGAAATTTCACCTCTGTGCCGTGTATTACGCAAGATTTGTTGGTCATCCACCTTCGCACAGTGCCCATAAAATATTTCTGCTAAGCTCAAGAAAGGGGTCTAGCTTATGTCCGGGCCCTTCTTAGGGTGCTGTGTCTTCGAGAAATCATCCCGACTTTGCGGTGCTGTTTGTTTCAGATGTCTGCACCACAAAGACTGTCTGCCACCAGTCGTATGGAGAGGGACCTCATATGACACTCTTCGTTTAGTAAGATGGCATCTTCGGACAACAGAGCCACTGTAAGATTTTAGTTCATTTTTCTTGCTTTGTTTCGGGCAGGCCAGTTCCTAGCCAGCTGGGAAAGCAATTTTTATCATGACAAGTGGGGGGCTACAACTCAGCTTTTCTTCACAATTAATAATTATTAATCTGTATCATCATTACCATTTAAATTATTTGGTTTGTTTCTGACATGGTAGCGAAAGAAAAGTAATAGTCAGACCCGGAGGGCATATCTTGAAGCACTAACTGAGCACGAAGTAATGTGTCTGCCAAGCTTTCTAGCTTGGGAGTCAAGTAAAAGAGAAAGCATGCACTGCCCAGTGTGCCGGCGAATTTGACATTGAAAGTATGAAGCCATAAGCACTGTCGTAGTGTGCTCAGTGCAAAACCCACTCGTGTCTGTAAAACAAAAGAAGAGAATCGCTCATTTCTTTGTTCGACAAAACCTTAATAAAGACCTACCGGATAATGGAGGTATAAGGGAGGTTAATTGTGCTATTTTAAGGGCATTGTAATTGTTATAAAGATGGGAAATTACATGGACGAAAAGACAACTTGCTTTTTTGTTTTAACGTACCTTATTCCTCTCCTAGCTTCAGCATTTGCTTGTTTTCATTCTGTTCTGTAGAGTTGAAAATAGCATGAGCTTAACTAAGTGCACACTGTCTTTCATGAGCATGGAAAGCAATAAAATAAGCGGACGACCAATTGTCAAGGCAGGAAATAATAAGAGGGCTTAGTTGGGTGTTTTTGAAGTGACATAAATTTGTCAGTTGTTAAACGAACTGGAAGTATCTCTATAAAGTAATTCAGGATGCATTCACGATCATGAAAATAGCTATTCTTTTTTTACCGAAACTAAAGCGAGCCATTTTTAGGTGTTCATGAAATGAAAACACAAGTACCGTGGGTCGTGCTGTGCCGTATTTGTCACACATGTCCAGAAGAGCCTTAACTGCTAATTTGCAGTGAATCTTAAGGATGTTTAAAAAATATTGCTGGGCTCGTTTGAAGTGACTAATAAAGATAAGGACAATTTTGTTCGCCAATCACAGGTGTCGTGCAAAAAGTTTTTTATTCTATCCCCCTCCCCCTCCTTATGCAAGTCTCCTAATATCAGAAGTCTCTAGGTTAGCAGGTATGCGCTTTTTAACGGACATCGGCTCACATTATTCAAACATAATGAACCCACTTTATTTTTCTCGCAAAAGTTGGCATCAATTCAAGGCGGAGGCTTCCTTACATGGGGGAAAAAAGTCAAGGGAGTTAAAAAGCAAAAGTTTTGCGTGACGGTATTAGGGAGTTTTAGAATTGGGACCCCAAAGCCTTCTGCGTGGGGACGCTTTGGGTCAAGCAGGAGCGACAAGTTTTCGAAAACTCAGTACATCGTATTTCACCCATGCAGGAAAATAGTAAACTAGAGCAGCCTTAATATTTTTTTGGCCAACCAAACTGTGAATAAGGTCAACACATTCAAATATTTAAGAGTTCTTTTTGACTAACACTTGCACTGAAGATGCTAGATCAATGCTGTGTGTAGTAAACTAGCTTTTAGCTGTTGTGCACTGGTCCGTTCCCGCCAATATTTTCCGTGTTATCTACTCCATTGCTTATACTTTTTCCTGTTTCATTCACACCTTGGCTATTGCTGTGAGGCTTGGGGCCTAACTTACAAAAGTTATTTTAGACCTATACTGCAGTTACAAAAATGTAGTTTAAGAATAATAACATTTTCTCCCGTTCATAGCTCAATTATCATTATATGCTTTCATTTACGGTGCTGAGAAATTGTAAGGTAGCTTGCTTAGTTCACAAAATACTGCACACAAACTTTCCACTACCCAACACCATATTCAACTTCCCACGTGCAAACACCAGGCAAACAAGTCATTTAAGTTTAAATCTTCCTCCCTGCAAAATTGTTTGTGGCGAACGACTGCTAGAATTATTCGGAGCTCAAACCCTGGAGCGCTGTGCCTCTAGAAATAAAAGCTATGTGTAACTTCACCCTTTCTTGCAAACGGTTTTTCTTGTCCAGTGAATTGTAATCGCCTTTCTTATGTAAATTGTACATTATTGAAACTTAGAAATGGACAAAATATGTATATTCTGGTGGTTTTACAGTATGTTCAAGGTCATCGACACGCAAGGCTCGTCTTTCTAGTTCAATTAGTCGATCTCTCGAACTATCGATAACTTTTTCCATGTTACTCTGCTGTTCTCTGAGTGCAGCCACATCTGCTGTCAACTTTTTTTGGCCAGACATCAGCTCCTTTAACATGGACTCGATAGAAGCGCCACCATTGTTAGTGGGACCGGGATTTAACTCGACGTCACCGCCCAGTAACAATAAACACGCACAATAAACATCATAACAGAAGTACAGCATTCGGGGCACGGCAAGACCAAAAGACCGCGGCAATCACGCCTAATCGTGCTATAACAGTTACTAACCTGCACAAGATAGCAGAACGGTTTAAGCCACATGTTTGCTGATGGTTCGCCGTGCCCCCAAAAGGCGTAGGTTTGGTGGTGGTGTCTTTTTAACCGATGCATCGACGTCAAGTAGACCATAAGTGGCACCAGTCATGGTGCATCCCAAAATGGCAAAGATGAGGCGTTGAACCAGCAATGACGCGGCATCAGTGACGTAGTTGGGGCCCATGTACACTTGTTGAAGTCGAGCAGATATGGCTGGTCGATTGCTTTTGGCTTCGGCTGTTGCGGTATCGTTGATCCGGAGAGACCATGAACAAGCACCTGCACGAACGAGGATAGCAGAACGGTTTAAGCCACATGTTTGCTGATGGTCCGCCGTGCCCGATCGACCACGTATTTTAAGCACAACCCTTTTTATTGTGAAAATTAATTTTGTTGCAAAAGAAACACCCCGTACTGTAGAGCATTTCGTATATGTAGATGACCTACAAATTGCATGTCGCTCTTCCAAAATTCACACCTGTGAAACACAGATACAACAAGGTATAAATAAACTATCTGAGTGGGCAGATAAAAATGGCTTCAGGTTTTCAAACGACACAAACGGTGACTGTGCTGTTTTCGCGCAAAAGAGGACTTCAACCTGACCCTGATTTGCGGCTTAACAAACAGAATCTGCCCATAAGAAAAAGAACACAAGTTTCTCGATGTTTTATTTGATAAATCACTAAGTTTTATACCTCGTGTAAATGCTCTGAAGACAAAAGCAAATAAATCTCTTAACATTCTAAAGATGCTATCTAGAAAAAGCTGGGGTTTCGATAGAGCATGCATCCTTCATCTGTATCGATCATTGGTACCCAGCATCCTTGATTACGGTTGTACTGTATATGGATCAGCGAGACCGTCATACCTTTGAAAACTAGATCCCATTCATAACCATGCTCTATGACTAGCCACGGGAGCATACAGAACATCCCCATTAGAAAGCCTACATGTAGAAGCTAACGAACCATGCCTAGACACCAGACGTTCTTTACTTTTAGCAACACATGCCCTAAAAGTTCGCTCATTACCCACACATCCATGTTTTAGCATTGTTCCACAGTGCAGAGAAAAACTGCTATATACTAATAAACCTTCCGCTGTAAAACCGCTCTGCCTCAGACTAGAAGAGGTTTGTCAAAAATTAAATATTCCAGAAAAATATCTGTATGTATGAAAAAAACCACAAGCTATTCTGCAATGGAAAAGTTTTCATGCCATCTGCGACTTTAGGCTTACAAAACTGAAAACTGAACAGAGAAATGCCAAAGGAACGCTTCATACAGCAGTTCTATTCTATGCAGGAAACTTACCAAACCAAGGCTTCATAGAATTTTACACCGGCGGATCTAAAATGCGTAAACAAATCGGCTGTAGAGTTATCGGAGTGAAGTAGGAAAAGAGAATACACTTACCGAATCATGCTTCGATTTTTACTGCTAAACTCTTCACGATATACACAGCTGTAAGAAAAGCAATAAACTACAACAGCCACAATACAGTTATATGTAGTGATTCTCTGAGCGCACTCCAATCAATCGCGTCCGAAAAAAACCAACTCCCTGATTGATTGATATGTGGGGTTTAACGTCCCAAAACCACTATATGATTATGAGAGACGCAAAATACAACCAACTCCCTATTGTAGGAGATATATTGAGACTCGTCGCAGAGGCAAACGAAACCGGGAAAGCTCTAAAATTTTGCTGAATCCCAAGTCATGTCGGTATAAAAGGAAATGATAGAGCAGATAACAGTGCAAACATGGCAACAAAATTGCCCATAAAAAAACATAGAAGTACCTTCCACCGACTGTGTAGGAACGTTTAGGCGATCACTCAACAAGCAATGGCTACTAAAGTGGGATAAAAATCTAACAAACTCCGTGTTATTAAACCAATGATCGGAAAATGGAAGCCAGGCAGACACCAGGAACGCTTCATAGAAGTAGTTCTGTACAGACTAGGTAGGAATTGAGCATACACACTTGAACCATAGTTACCTTTTGCGCAAGGAGCAACAACCAACTTGTCAGAGGTGTGAAGAAATCTTGACAGTAAACCATCTTTTGATCTCTTGTAAAAAACTAGAGCGGGAACGGAAACTTATTTTTTTGACTCTTATACCATCAACAAACACCATTTCATCCAGCTTTTTTTATGGGCGAAAACCCTACAATAGAGCTGAAAAATCTCACCAGATTACTAAAAGCTATAAATGTACTGAAGCTACTCTGACGCTTATTACCCAAAATATTAGGACCTGTTTTCAATATTTCATTTGTACACAAAAAATGTCTTGCCTTTGATGCAATATGGCCATAGTTTCTTTTGCATCACAAAACTCAACACAACACAAAACAAATTTTTAATCTTCGCTTTTTCCTCAGCCTTTGCGAAGAGTATGTTCAATTTCCACTCATAATTATAGAGAACAAACCATACTGCTAAGTTCTTGACCTTTTCTATTAACTTAACCCTTTCGGCCCTGGCGGTGTCCATTGACACCACCGCACAACATTTACCCTAGTATCTTGGAAATGTAATGAATACTCCATTCTTGGGGGCATGATTCCCACTGCAATTTACACCAATATTGCGGCAAGTTTGTGGAGGCAGCAGCCACAAAGAAGAAGAAGCGCGACCGTGGTCTACCGTGAAGCCTAGGCGCGTAAGTAGAGGCGAGTAAGCACCATTTTCGGGACGACGTACCGAAGCTGCTTCAGTGAGTATTAGGCTGAAAAGTAAGACGTGGTTTCCATTGCGTGTACACCAATGATTGGCAGAAAAAAAGAAGCCATTTTTTTTTTTCATTTTCCAATCACTGGGCCCTAATCACCTAATTTGATGCCACGTTAATTAAAACAAAAATGCTTGTACCAAGTGGCACAATTTTTTGTTTGTGGTCTTCTGAGGTCTTAACTATGAGAAAAACGCGCACAAAAAGTGTATCAGACCAAAATAAAAAATCCAGGGCTAAAAAGGGTAATGACTCTTTTTAACCATGCGTCTCACACTGTGCAAGCATAACTAGTATCAGGAAGTGTATTGCGTTTCTCCGCAGAAAGTTCATACGATTCCGACGATGCGTGGTCTGACGATGTGTCTCCATCAGGTAATGAAAATGTGGTGATCAGCAATATCGATGTCAGATGTAGGACCTACACATTTTGAAAAATTTATCATATAGGTAAAATACACATGAATAAAAAATCTCTCGCAGTCCCTTATGCTTTCGCCTAAAATGACCCCAAGGCAAAAGCCATACCTTGTTCTTTTTCTTCATGCAGTGTCTTGATCCTCCACTGCCCCCCCCCCCCCCCCCCCTAAAGCTTCCTGTACCTAATTTCTAATTTGGTAGCATCCTGCCCCAGGTTTCTGCACCTCTCCTGGTTTCACATAGCCTGTGTGATCGGCCCACAGAGGCGGTGCTAAGTGACCATGCCATGCAATGACTTGATCTATCGAAATTACACTAAATGACATCATGATGCCATCACTAATTTCATCAAACCTCAGTGATAGTAAGAAACAGTTATCACATATATTAGTTAATGGAAATACAATTACAGATCTGAAGCTTGTTGTGGAACATTTTAACAAATTTTTCATAGCGTGTTTTCTGAGGCGAGTCTTCATACGCTTCAGCAAAGAGTATTTCAGTCTAATGAAGTGGACTTTATATCTTATTCTGGTTTTCTTGAAATGATTTTGAAGTTGAATACTAAATAATCTTGTGGTCCAGACACTATTCCAAATGTCTTTCTTCACCGTTATGCCGAAAGTATGACTACTTTTGTTGTTGTGCTCTTTCGGTGTTCACTGTTGAGTGCAGAACTACCCAGCGATTGGAGGAGGGCTCGTGTTGTTCCCGTGTTTTAGAAAAGCAACCATTCACTTGTAGAAAACTACCGTCCCATCTCATTAACATCACTAATTTTTAAAATGCTCTAACATGTATTATCTAAGCGCATTGTGGAATTTCTCGAGCAAAACTCTGGGCTGACAAATTTTCAGCATGGCTTTAGAGAAAATTTATTCAACGGTAGCTCAGTTAGTCTCAGTGGTTCATTCATTTGCAGAAACTCTGGATAAAAATGGTTTAATGGACGTCATTTTCCTTGACTTTAGCAAGGCATTCGACAGAGTTGTTCATCATAAATTAATTATAAAACATAAAGAAAATCTACCCGCCATGTTTATTTCCTGGGTACAACACTATTTGTCAGAACCTTCGCAGTTTGTTTCAATAGATGGGATCGATTCGAGCTCTCTTCCTGTTACATCAGGCGTGCCACAGGGTAGTGTCCTGAGCCTGCTGTTATTTTTAATTTATGTAAACGACATTGTAAACACAGTACTACCAGGAACTCAAATCAGATTATTTGCAGCTGATTGTGTGCTCTCTCGTGAAATTACTTGTTCTAATGATCAAGAGAACCTGATCGTATGTCTTAATAAGATACTAGTCTGGTGTAGTGACAATGATATGGTACTGAACGCACAAAAACCTGTTTATCTTTGCATGACTCGTTCAAAAACACCCCTTTATTTTACGTATAATCTCAGCTCATCCTTACTACAACAGATAAAAAACTACAAATATCTAGGCATGACAATAACTAATGACCTGTCTTGGAATACTCACATAGACAACGTATGTTCTTCTGCATTCCGTAAGCTGTGTTTTCTACAACATAAACTTAAAAATTCTCCTTCTAACATAAAACTACTTATTTATTATACGTACATAAGAACAAAACTAGAATACCCTTGTGTTGTATGGGACCCTTTTACTAAAGCAGTACAAAGGAAGGCTGTTAGGTTTGTTTATTCTAAGTTCAAACTTACGGACTTTCTGACTGAACTCATCATTGCTAACAACATTGAAACACTTTCATTATGACGAAAAAGGAACCGCCTTAACTTCCTATATCTGCTAAGTAATCACAAGTTAGCCCTTGATCCGAGTGCATATGTATCTCCTCTGTCCACTAGGCATACATGTCATCATCACACCCATTCTTTAACCCTGTATTTTGCCAAAACCAACGCATTTAAATTTTCTTTTTTTCCACGTACTGTGTCAGAGTGGAACTGCCTGACTGATCTCGGCCAACTTTTTGTTGTTTAGAGCTAAAATAAGCGCTGTCAATTTGTGTTCTGTTTCTTTTTATGTAATATTTTGCCATGTTAACTTTTATGCATTCTGTTAGTACGAGTTTTCGATTCTATTTATCGTCATATATTCTTATGTTATCTCATGAGTTTTTCTATTTATATCCTGCCTCTTGTACCTGTCCTGCTAGGACCAGTTCTTGGTCTGCAGTATTCAATAAATAAATAAATGAATAAAAATAATTCGGTGATGTCATGGGGATGCCATCACGTGACAATTTTTTGTGTCACTCGTGTTGACGGTACGGGATGCCGGCGGTTAATTTCACTGTTTGACGAGGAATTTAAGGCTTTTGCCTTAAAAAAAAAAGACAAACCGAAGTAAATGAACATGACCATCGTGCACGATGGTCAACAGTGCACCACAGTGTACATCTCACTTCATGTTACGTGCGATCGCCCAAAAACAAACGTGATTATCACCGCACAGCAGCTTGTACACACATGTGTGCTACAAAAGAGGCTTTCTTTACCCGTTTAGCCATCTTGTTATATTTATTATTGTGATGACCAGTCATACTAGGGAGCTTCAACACGAAAGCACAGTGGACACTATAGTGAGCTCATCACATAAAAGTGGGAAATTGTGGCCGTTTCCGTGTTAATGCAGACTCAGTTGCCGTGGAAACAGTTGCATTTCATGTAAATACAATGTTTTTTCTTGTAAATGTTTCTGAACTGAGCAAACGCTAATTGCCAAGAGCCTTTAAAACATCTGATGTTGAAGATGAGTTCATTGAAACTGTTTTTAATAAATTCGTTTTACATTGTGAAGGCTTGAAGAAATGCATGCATTTTGCATCTAGTGGAAACATTTCATATTGGCGTTCAGCGATCCCTGTAGATAGAAACAAACCACAGCTGGCTCCCAAAGAACAGCAGCCAATATTTACGGTTTCATGACTTTGTTCGTGCAGACGATGCCCCTGTCACCGATTTTACTATCACTGCTTTCCGGAGTATCTCAAGCCAGTGTTTTCGGCCTCTGTCTTTTTTTAATTTTTAATAATGAAAGGCCCAGTGATATCACAGTATCAATATATCACAGACGATTGTGTCCTTTGTAATAAAGTAGAGGATCCCCATAACCAGACTCTGCCTAAATCCAAACTTGCAAAAGATTAAAACTTGGTATGACACTTAACAGATGGTATTAAACAAGAAGAAAACTGCCGTCATGTCGGTTTCGAGAAAAAAAGAAAACCATGCTTCATACATATTTTATCACAGTCTTAACAAGAGTGTAAATACCTTGGTGTCACAATAACATCTGACTTCAGTTGGAATACTCATATTGTTGACATGTATTCTGAGGCAAAGAATCTTCTTGGGCCATTAAGAAGACGCATTTACAGTGCACCTCTTGAAGTGAGAAGTCTGGCACACAAATAGAACATTAGTCAGGCCTATTTTAGAGCATGCCAGAATAATATGGGACCCTTACACGGAAACAAACAAACGTAAACTTGTATTTTATCTTCATCTCGTGCTAAGGTTTTTTTTTATAGTAAGTATCGAGGACATGACTGCCCTTTAGAATGTGGTGCGTCATCATCATCATAATTCTCTTGACCACTGCGCTGCACATTTCGCGCAGCTGATTCTACCTCAAGCGGTGCGAGGACAGAACGGGTACACGTACCTGGCGTGTCGGACGCTGGCAGCTGCCGCAGCTGAGCTTTGACCTGCGGGTAATAATGTAGCAAGATGGCCCCGCCGGCCGCCTACACGACGTCGTCTCACCTCTTTCTCCTTTTCTCGCCCGCAACAGTGGTGACCCAGAGAACGCACGCTTGGGCGAGCAATTGGTGCCATGTTCCCGCAACTCTGCCCACCAGTGCCGCCGTTTCAATCGACCTACCCCAAGGTATGGTTTACGCAGCTCGACGCCGTTCTTGCGGTGAATAGCGTGACAGACCAGCCGCTGATGCACACCATTCTTCTTGACGCCCTTCCTGTAGAACTGTGTCATCTCGCTGACATTTCAAGCTCCAGCCCGCAGCCGTACGATGACCTCTGCTCTGTGGTGCTGGCCTCCTACGGTCTTATCTACCGCCCGCTTCTGTTGACCCTTGACTTCCTGGTTTACCATGAGTTGCAGCAAGCGGCATCAACTGGCCATCATCCTGTGTCTCGACCAGGACTTTGCTTCTCTGGCTATGTCTCCTATAACCTCTCGTCCGGCCACTAGTGACGAGAGTCTCGCGTTCGACTGCCTATCTGACAAGGTTCAGGACATTCGTGCGGCATGAGACCAGTCGACCACGAGGTGCAGTTTTTTCATCGTCCTCGGCTGAAGATAACTGTAGGCATGCTCGCCACCCACTCGTCTTGGCCAACCTCCACGGCCCACAACACCTCTGACGCATTAGGCTTCATGACGGCAACCTTGCCGCACGCCCTGGAGCCTTCCACAGACAGACACTGTTTTCACCCGACCAGTCATCGACTGACCCGACCTTTTATAAAACTCGACGCTCTGTCTGATTTGTAAGCAGCGACCAGCCTCGCCCTCTCAGTCTTCTGCAGCGGAAGTTCAAGTCCCCTTTAACTATGTCTGAACTTCAGAGACGCTGCAACTATGACTAACACGCTGGAGAACGAGGTGCCTGGTATGCTTACGGCAGGGTACACCAGACATGACACGCCTGCCATGAAGGCGGCCAATGATTATGCAGACCTGCACGCCAACCCTCAGGCTAAGACTACCGCAGGTCATTCCACGAGCACCAGCATCTAGGCCCGTCCTCTGGCAGAGCCCACGCTGACTGGGATCCACAACCACCATCCCCTGCAGCCTCTGACGCCAGACGGCAGCCATCAAACGAGTGTCCACAACGCAGGCTCGCTGGTCACAACAGTGATGATGCCCATGCATCCTGTAGTCTACCACTCATGAGACTTCGTCGACGAAGTCAACGTGCTCCGCATAATAACATTGTGGCCCTTTTTGAGCCCCCCTGCTACGAATCCATATGCTGCAGTCGTGGCCCTCAAGACGGCACAAGTGCCTACTAGGTCTCCTGGACGCTATGGCCAACCACTTGCTGGGCACCCGACTACTCGCAGTGCAGGTGGCGCCGTTATTCGGACACGTTCCCGTGACCGCAAGCACGTGTATCCGTGCCAGCATGCTGAACGCGGCACAACCTTGAGGTCTGTGTTGTGTAGACACCGACGTCAGCACGAGCACCAATGACCCACTGCCAATGTTAGCAGTCAAGTCGGCACTCTTACGAGCACATTTCCCAGACGCGTCTGCTCGTGCTACCTGGCGCGCTCACAAATGCACCCACCAAGTCATCGTGGGACCTGCTTGTCATCGACCACAACGGCCCGTTGTTTGTTTCTTCGTCCGCTGCGCAACTGCAAGAGTCGCCCACCGGAGACTTCCCGATGGCCTATCCACCTTGACAACCTGGACTTCCCAAATGGAGACTTTAGGGATTATTCATGTATATAGTCTCTTTCCATCTCGTTCATTTGCTTAAGCGTTTGAAGTCGTGCAAAGCACTAGGGGGGGGGGGGGGGGAGCTCTGTATTGCGCCAATGTCAGCATCATTCTCTTGACCACCGTACCGCGCCTTTCGCGCAGCTGATTCTAGCTCGAGCGGCGCGAGGACAGAACGGGTACATGCGCCTGGCTTGTCGGATGCTGGCAGCCGCCGCTGCTGAGCTTTGACTCGAGGGTATTAAAGTCGTGAGATTCGACACGGCCCCGTCGGCCGCCTGCACGACGTTGTCTCAGGTTTTTCTCCTCCTCTCAGCTGCAACAAGAACTCAACAAAATTGCCAATGTGCACTCATTAGAGTCTAGGACCTCCCTTGAAAGACTAAAACTTCTTTCCCTTATCATTCACAATCTCATCACCATAAACAAGAATGACTACTTTATCATCCAAAGTGACATCTACATGAATCACAGGCACACATTCCTCCACCTTGTGCCTCTATCGATAGTTTTAAATTTAGTTTTTTCCCAAGAGTTATCAAAGAATGGAATGGACTGCACGATGCTGTAGTGTAGGCATCATCATTGGGTGAATTCATGGAAATATTTAACTGATTTATTTAAGTCATTGTTTTGTGTTGCCGTGACTTGTCGGCCTGCTTACTTTGCAGTCATTACATTATCTTTGAACTCATTACATTATCTTGCTATGAAACACTGTTTCATCTATTTTTTTTTTCTTGTGAAAGGCGCTTTTTTGTATTATGTATGCCGGTGTTAGTACACTTTATCTGCTTTAATAAGTTCGAATCTAATATTAAAGCTTGCACCTCCAATGTTTCACATGTAAAGTATGTCATTTCGTGGAACATAGCACCCTTGTTGCTTTCTTTTTGTTCTTTGCTCCTGTAATGAACCAGTGTGGGTTGACAGTATCACTAAATAAATAAAGAAATAAATATTGTTGCTTTAAATTTTGGTTGATTTAAAGCTCTTAGTAGTCACGGTTTCATTGAAACATAAGTCAGCACATTTGAGTACGTGGTGAAGTTATGCATTGATCAATTTGTTCCTCTTAAAAAAAAAAGGAGATCTGCAGATTCCATGGATGAATGATAGCTTGCTGCTGATTTCATGTGGCATTCGTTGTCTGCGCCATTTGAAAAACACAGGTGATTCATATGTTCTCGGTCGCCTTAACACTGTTGTAATATATCTGCATAAAAAAGTGAAATGTGCTAGCAATTTTTATTGCGAAGTTCAACTTCCTGCTTTACTGACATCTAACCCTCACAAATTCTGGTCTTCTATCAACCGCACTTGAACAGATTCACTTTCTTTTGTTATAGATAGCATGGCTGCTTGAAATTTCAAGATTGTTAAAGCACTCAGTATTTAAGAACAAGGATTTGTGCTGTCTCGTGTTTCTTGAGTGCTGTGTTTCTAATGAATCCGTACAAACGAGCTCACCTCAATGATCTTAGTATCTATTTCAGTCACTGTTCACACACGACAGTAATGCTCTCCCTTTGCTCTAGCGCAGAGCTGTACATTGACGATCCGGTAAATAACACATATTGTATCCTTGATTCTTAAGTTAGATGCAAAGAAGTGCACTGACCCATATAATATTCCACATAGCTTTATGATGCAATACGCTCTCTGGTACTCGCGTTGTTTGACCCTCGTTTTTAACAAATCTTTGTTTTCAAATACAATTCCCGAGTCATGGAAGCTAGCCAAGGTCCTGCCTCTGCATAAGTAGTAAAACAGACAGCTCCTCTTCAATCATAGATCCATATCACTTCTAATTTTGGAAAGCTGCTCAAACACATCATTCATGAGCACACCACCAAGTTTCTTTAATCGAATTACCTTTTGTCCAGCACACAACATGGATTCAGCCCAATAACACAACTAGTGGAATTTTCGTATGATATTATGAATAATTTAGGCATCGGTAATTTAATCAATGCTTCATATTTATAGATTCTCCAAAAGCTTCTTACGCTAGGCCCGTGTGCTCAGATTAGGGTGCGCATTAAAGAACCCCAGGTGGCAGCAATTTCTGGAGCCCTCTCTATTGCGTCTCTCATAATCATACGGTGATCTTGGGTTGGAACGTTACACCTCATATATCATTATCACCATATCAAAGGCTTTTTACACTGATATTCACAGCAAGCTTGTAGGTAATTTTAAGTAATCTGCAATTGGTCGACTGGATAGCAGGCTTTCTAAACTTGCCCTCTATATTCTTTTCATTTAATTCCTAGCTGTCCTGAGCAGCAAAAGTTACATCTGGTGTCCCATAGAGCTCTGTTTCGAGTCCCCTGTTATATTTAATTTTTGTTGTAAATGACCTTCCCAGTAATATTAGATCCAAAGCTCGTCTCTACGCCGATGAATGTGTATTTTGCCAGGTAATTTGCTTTTCCTAATGATCACGCCAAACTTCAGGATTCTTCCTCGCATTTTTTGGATGGGCAGATGTGCACAAACTTTCTAAAAAATGCATTTTTTTGTCATTCACGAGTAACCATTCTTTATCACATCATGCATATTTCTTCAACATCGCAGTTCGATCGAGCACAGACACGCTACAGTCGAACCTTGCTAAAACGAACCTAAAGGGACGCGCGAAAAATTTTGTTGAAGCGGAAATTTGGTTATGGCGAAATCTGCCCCAGAACACTGTTGTATTTGACTAGAAACGTGACAAACATAATTTATTTGCCAAAAAAATCTGACAGCTTCGTCTGCCGTCTTCCTTTCGACATTAGTGCCGTGGCGCGATGTTCGCAGTCGGTGATCTGCTGCATCGCGAGGCCATCATCATGGATGCCAAAGAAATTGCGAATCACATCAAATGCATCCATTACACTCAACGCAAGAGGCGGCGCCGAAACGTCTTGAGCGACACACTCGTCGTCTGACGACGCGTTGTCATGGCAAACTTCATCAATAATTGCCTCATCAGTGAGCCTCTCGCGAGCAATGACCTCTGCATCACTGGCGAAGGACTGATCGATGCTGACATTCTCTGGTATATTTTGGGTGTCCCAAAGGGCTGCCCAGGTCGCAGTTGCTTCTCTCGAAGGTGGCTCCATTCTGCCACGATCGTCTTCGTCGAGTTGAACTGGCGAGTTGGCCATTACTTCAGTGTCAGGCTTAAAGCCAGCGTGAGTAAAACAGTTTTCTATGATGCTTCGCCAGGTCACCGTCCACGACGCGGCAACCATTTGTAGGGTCACGAATACATCCACTTTTGTCTGGCGCCCTGTGTCAATATTCAGCAACCGTCGCTGAATGAGCCACTGCCGATAAGCGCTTTTAACGCTGCGAATTATGCCTTAATGTAACGGCTGAATCAAAGCAGTCCAGTTGGCTGGGAAAAATCGCACGTCCACATTGCT